CCTCCACAGTCCTCTCCGTCATCTGTTCCATCTGTGTCAGTTTGTCTTTTGATGAAGCTGTGAGGACTGAGGTTCTCTTCATCATCATTCATCTTCACTCTTCAGGGGACAGTGAATGTGAACCCTTGAAGCTGCTCTCCCTCCTGACTGGTCCTGACTTCCTCCTGTTCCTCTTTAATGTGTGGGGGCTCTGGGTCCTCCTCTGGTCCAGACTGGGTCTCCACTCCTCCTGCTGTTGTCAGGGGGAACCTCTTCTTTACTCACCGACAGCTGCTGGACGTCTGCAGGACACAGTAAACACAGACAGACACACAGACATTATGTATGATTTGCAACCCATCCTCATAATCAGAGAGGAAAGAACCAGTTTTAAGTCGTTTTAGCTTCCAACTATTTATTTATTTTCAGATGAAACAGAATCTGAGAGCTGTTAGCCTTCCCCATATTTACGTATTTAAGAAACAGGCAGTTAGGGACCTGTTCTGCTAATCACGCTGTGTTTATGTCCCCCCAGTCCAGCAGCTGTAGTGGATCCCATTAGAGAACTCTAAAAGAAATGAATTAATCAATTATAACACACAAAAAAACACAGTGGATAAGAAAGTAAATCCACCTACGGAGCTAGCAGGCGATGTCACAAGCTCCGCCCCTAATTTCACTGATGGTAAATGTAAATTCTGACTTCATACGATCGATCAGTTCATCTTGCAACCATCAAACTCACCAGACCAACCTGCTCGAAATATAACTTTGATTTGAACAAACTAAACAGGATTTTAATCTTCGTCATTGGGGAAAAGAACCCACAGAGAGCCCAGTGGCCCGAATTTTATATTGGCTGATCAGGGCATGTTTTCATAGTTTAAACGAGTCCTGGTCCCACAGTGAAGGAACTCCTCCTCACCGACGTCATCAGCAGCAGCAATAACCTCAATATCACCAGACTCCATTCAAATATCACTTTTATATTTATAATTATATATGATTAGTTATTATTAGTTAGAATTATATGATTATATATAGTTTAGTGAGGAGACACGCTGTAAACTGTGTTATTATTAGTTTATAATTATATAATAGTTAGCTGTAAACTGGAGTTATTATTTAGTTTATAATTATATAATAGTTAGCTGTAAACAGAGTTATTATTAGGGGTGAGTAAAAATATCGATACGGCAAATATAGCGCGATACTTTGCCGCCGATATAATAACGATTGTCAACTCGATTTTTTTTAAGAATAATGATTCATGTTTAGACCGGTTGTGGAATACAGTATGACTTCCGTACCTCCACTCCGGTAGATGGCGCCGAGGAGCGACTCTGCTGTGCGGCGCATGTATTTCTGTATTAAGAAGAGTGGCTGAGGACTTTCCAAAATGGGCTATCAAAACAACAACGCCTCCGCAGTTTAAAGCCGACGTTTGGAAGCACTTTGGCTTCCAAGTTAAAAAAGATAGTAGGAACAAGTTGGATAAAGATAATGCCGTTTGTAAGCTTTGTCTCGCTGCCGTGAAATATTGTGGGAACAACAACGAACTTGCGAGTTCACGTAGAAAGACTCCGCGCCGAGATATTAGCACAGAAGCAGCCAAACACGGATTTAACGGTACTTTATCCTTTATGTTATTCAGCTGCACTGTGAGTCGGACTGCGGTTACAGTGATTTCAGTTTGGTGGTCAGGGAAAAGAGATTAAATGCTTACTTTGAGAATTATTTACAGGAGTTTCATAGTGAAAGACATTAATGCACTTCATTTTATAGTTTCAACTGCAGTGTGTAAACCCGCAGTTTATTCTCAATATTTCTTTAAGTGAATGTCATGGAATTAATAAAATGGAGAGGCTGTTTTGATTCATTTGTCCTCTGATCAATATCATCTGATGTCATATACAGGTACTTTTCATCTCTATTTTATATCGCAATATCGTGACATTCGTGACACGTATCGTATCGTTGAGGTTCTTGCAATACTCACCCCTAGTTATTATTAGTTTGTGATATTATTAATAATTGAAACATGTTTCAGAGCAACTGTTCCAACATCAAAATCATCTACAGCTCTGCTGTAATCTGATTACTGCTGGCAGGGAGTAATCAGATTACTGTGTACAATTAAAAGGGGGCGTGGCCATTCTGAAGACCAGGAAGTGATCTAATCCTCATCTTTAAGTAGCAACTGTTAGCTTCATTAGTTTAGCAACCACAGAGGATTGTAGCTTTAAACCAGCTCTCCGGTGTAACGTCAGCGCTTCCCGGTTGTAACGTCAGCGCTTCCCGGTGTAACGTCCAGCGCTTCCGGTCGCTGGAAGGCGGAAACGAGACCTAGCTAGCATTAGCATTAGCCTGCTGTCTCCGGGTCCTCCGGGTCTCCGGGGCAGACAGCAGGGACTGACCCCGCTCTGTGCAGCTTAACTGGCATCTCAGCCACGGACCAGAACCAGCCAGAAACTCAGATCCAGATTTACAACCAGACATCGATTACAAGACGTCAGAATTTTCTGTGGCTGAGATCGAAGTCAGTTGTGATGATTGGGAAGAGTGCAGAGAACCTCCGTCAGGTCTGAACTCTCTGAACAAAAACCCTGTGAGTGAGAAGAAAAGTAATACTGGTGAGAAACCATTCAGCTGCTCTGAGTGTGGGAAGAAATTTGCCAAAAACGGCTTCCTGGAGACACACATGAGAACGCACACAGGGGAGAAACAGTTTAGTTGCTCAGTGTGTGGGAAGAAATATACAATATACAGATATTTGCTCCAACACATGGCTGTCCACAGCGGGGAGAAACAACAACAAAACTGCAGCATTTGTAGCAAAAGACTTGTTTGGCACTCGGGAGTCGAATGCCATAATTGTGATAAAAGTGAGTGTGATAAAAGACTTTGTTACAGTCATCACTTGAAGAAAGACATGGGGACAGACGAGAATCTATTCAGTTGTTCAGTTTGTAGTAGAAAATTCACACAGAGGGGATATCTGATGCAACATATGGCACGCCACACAGGGAAGATCCGATTCCGCTGCTGTGTTTGTGACAAAAGATTTGCTTGGCGTCATGAGCTCAAGAGCCACAAATGTGTTGGTGATTCATCACAGCCTCTTCAGAGCCAAAGTGAGGAGAACAGAGAGCCTCTAGCCAGCATCTCTACTGAACGGAGGGAAACAGGAGCTGCTGGAGAGGACTCTGGAGGATCAGAGTCTGATGACAAGACTTCAGACTCTTCAGAACCTGAGACTGAAGTCAGAGATGATGATTGCAAACAGACCAGGGAAACTCAGTCAGGTTTAAACTCTGCAACAAATAATGAAGTCCCTGTAAGTGATGCAGGAAGCGGCAGTGATAAGAAATCTTTTATCTGTTCTGAGTGTGGCAAAACATTCTGTGGTGAGGAAAATCTGAAGACGCACATGAGAACTCATGCGGGAGAGAAACCATTCAGCTGCTCATTTTGTGAGAAAGGGTTTACTCAAAAAGGATATCTGACAAACCACCTGACAGTCCACACAGAGGAGAAACGATTCCTTTACTGTGTTTGTGGCAAAAGATTCGCTTGGCGTTATAATCTCAAAAAGCACAAGTGTGTCCGTGAATCCGCACAGCTTCAGCCGAGCCAGACAGAGAACAGAGAGGTGGAGTCTCTAGCCAGCAGCTCAAAAACTTCAGACTCTTGTAAACTTCAGATTCAAGTCGGTACTGATGATTGTAATGAGACCAGGGAATTACAGTCAAGTTTAAACTCTCAGAAAAATAATGAAGTCCTCCACAGTGATATAAGTGATGTTGCAGAGAGACCATTCAGCTGCTCTCAGTGTGCTAAAAGGTTTCGGCGAAAGAAAAATCTGCAAGAACACATGAGAATTCATACTGGAGAAAAACCATATGGTTGTTCAGTGTGTATGAAATATTTTTCTTGCAGCGGATCGTTACGAAAACACCTGAGAATCCACACTGGAGAGAAACCCTTCAGTTGCTCTGTGTGTGGTAACCGTTTTACTGAAAGTGGACATCTGCAGTTACACATGAGAACTCACACGGGAGAGAAACCATTCAGCTGCTCAGTTTGTGGTAAAAGTTTTACCTGGAGGCAAAGCTTCAATAATCACATGAAGTATCATACAGGAACAACCAGAGAAATTAACTAGGTATCCAATATGATATTCAGGAAGAGTCAAACTCTTCTAGTCAGAGTTGTAAATACTTCTCAGGCACAGCTTGTGTTCAGTTAAAGTTGTAAGATCTCTGTGCTGTTCACACAAATTTCTCCCTCATCTTTGTCAACTAGCCAATCCAGTTGGTGCAGGTCAGCTGTACGTGAACCTTTTGCAGAAATGTGTGTCACTGCACAGATTAACTAACTACCAACCATTACTAAACATTTACTGATTGTTATAAACAAACAAATCCAGTTTGAATTAGTTTACTTTGTTATAGACATGCTACTCGTCTCTATTTTTAGTTTCTTTTTCCTTCAAACAGATAAAAACCACATAATACAACCTCTACAGAGTTAAATACACAGAGGCAGTGCGACACAGCAGGGCAACATTGTAGGTGTTTTCAGATTTCACATTAAAATGATCCAGGTAATACGGCCCAGAGTCCAGACCCTGCGCAACCAACTCAATATGCACACAGTGCAAACCTGTCCGTGTGGATGAGGGTTTAATCCCGGGAATCCCCATGTAAACCATTTCTAGTTTCCCGACTTCCTTTTGTAACCCCCACAGCCGCGGTGCGTTACGGTCACAGAAACAGCACAGAGAATCCGATCTGGATCAAATTTCATGCTACATCAACACTGTGGCTCCAGACGGAAGTCAGAGGAGACAAATCACACAAGTAAACACCGTCGGACATAAGATGCTTCTGAAACATTCTCGGTCAGGTTTAAAGGTCACAGAGCCAAACGGTGTCACAGATGCAATGTTATAAAGCCTTATAGTTAAATATAAACAGTTCCTGTCTGAAAGCAATGAAAGACAGAGTTGAGTCCTCTTGTCTCATTGAAGCTGATGGGACTCCACTGAGTGGGAGGTCAGAGACGCACTTCAGACCAGATTCAGACACCAGAGAGAGATTATTAGATCAGATTATCAGATTATTAGAATGACTTTGGAAAAGCCAAATTAGAACTGTGAGATATCACTTCCATGAGGCTGTGAACACTTGCAGCTATAGTTAAAGCTGCAGTTTATATTTTAGTATTCTAATGTTGATTAATTATTGACAATTATTAATACCACCAAAACAATACACTGAAGCAGTTGACCAATAACGTCACATAAAATGAGTGGAGGCAGCGCCATATAAAGTCATTATAATGTTTTATCAAAAGATTGCAGCTTCTACGATTTGGATTTTGGATTTGATGAATTGTGAATCCCTAGATGACAATATGCTTTATATAAAATCATATAATGATGTAAATTGAATAAAGACACATATTATAGGTAAAGGTAAATAGTATAGGCAGATATTAATGTCAAACAGAGACAAAACAGGACAAATACCACATTATAAACTATCTGAGGGTTAATACATTTCTGTAACCCTAACCCTCTGATGACTCCACCCCTCATATCACTTATTTACATTACGATACAGGAACATCCCTTTAACTTTTCTCACTTTTGGTGAATATTTTTTATTCTTTGTCTGTTTAATCAGTAGAATGATGATGGTTGTATTTTCTGTACTTTATTTATTATTTCCTGTATCATATATCGATCACCCTGTGTGGTGTTTGAATGTGTTGAATCCCATGTTAAAAAAAATAACAGGAAAAATTATAAACATAACTCATTAATTTCAGTTTATGGGTCCATGTATCCTAAAGTTTCAGGATGCAATCAGTAAACTTTATTTTCATAAAAGTCTTGTTTCTTTGTTTCTTCAAACGGTATTAAATGTCAAACATGACCATTCAGCTGCTTAGTGTGTGGTAAAAGCTTCAGTCAAAAGAGTAATCTGCAGTTACACATGAGAACTCACACAGGTGAGCAGCAGCAGGAATGAAGCTGCCTATTCAGCTGTTACAGAAAAATAAGTTAGAAATGCATCATGGAATCAGAGCAACAGTCTGGTGGTTACGTCTGTAACTATTCTGAATGAGAGTCCGATGTTCACTCTGGTGAGTAATGTACTGAGTCCACTTTCAGTCCCCAAGTAAAGTATTTACTAACTTCTGTTTCAGCGGCTGTTTTCACAGATTTGATTTTTGCTCTGGTGAGAAACTTGTTTTAAACAAGATAGGACACTGGATGGACTCAGCTGGTGTGAAACAGAAAAGTTTGGTTGTTTGTTTTGACGTCATTTTGAGCTAAATGTTAGCTTTTACTGTGTAATGAGTAGAATGATCATTGTATATATGATTTGTTCATTCGTTTTGTTTATTTAAAAGATGTTTAATGTTCAAAGTAAGAAGCTTTCTTGTTTGTTGTAAATATACATTCATTCTGAATTTGATCCTTGTAACATGTTCCCAAAAATTCGGGACAGGGTCATGTTCAGTGTTCTGCTCATTGTTGAGCAGTATGTTGTACACTGCAGCGCCTCCTCCTGGTTGTTCAACAGCAGGTTGAGAGAAGAGTGCTGCTGCCTCCTCCTGCAGCACTTTGCCTTGGACACTACTAATAAGTATTCTGTTGATCATTTTTGGATCGTGGAAGTAAAATATAAATGCTGTGCTGCTGAACAAATGGATGTACACATTTAGAAAATAGTTCATTGATAGCTAGCATAGCTGTGAGCTAGTGGTTAAATGTACACTAAATGACCAAATCCCACTGAACGTTTATGATGGTGTTCATATCCACGCTGTATCCAGTTCTCCTCATTCATCCTTCCACAGGACAGGAGAGTGTTTGTCTCTAATCTAATGCCTTAGCACACACATTTACTGCGATCTTATAGCACACAGCTCAACTGGACCGAACTATTTAAGGTTCTTGTATTTGTCTTTAAGCCATACGTGCTCAGGAAGCCCTGAAGATACTCAGAGCAGCAGTTTCTAACTGAAGGTTGCAAACTGTCATTAATAACTTTAATTATTAACATTAGTGAAGTTTAAAGTGCAAGCCAACCGTACATTGTGATACTTACTTAGAGGAGTTCACACAGTTCGCTAGCTTTGAATATATGCAACTCATTGTGGGAAAGTCTACTGTCTTCTGTTTACTTTGTTTTTTTTGGTATTAAGTCCCTAACACTTTACCTTGCTGAGTTTGGTCCTGACTTGCTGGTTTCCACCAATGAGCAGTGAAGTGAAACCTCCTCTCAGCCAATATTAGACCGTAACATGTTTATTACCTTTCTCATCAGTCCCTGAACTGCACAGTGAATGCTTTCTGTTTCCAGCACGTGGTTCAGACTGTACACGAGGAGCACAGAAACTCAGTTTTTATATGTTATAAAATATCTAAATATATTATGTTCTTAAGTTAGAAGTGTTATAGTTTTGTGATACACATGTACTAGATATAAAAGGTTACGTGTCCACGCAACGTTTATGTAAGGGAGCAAAGGTCAACCCCATAGTAGCTTTAACCAGGGTGTGAGCCCCCCCCCGCCCCCCAATGAAACCACTGGAGAAAGTGAAATAATTAATTGAAAAAAGAAAATATCATTAACTTCTGATCATAATTATATAGACAGTTAGCCCACCGGGTCCGGGTTCGCGAAGGTGGAGGGACGCCCTGAGTCTCAATCACACACACACACAGACAATGTATTATTATTATGTGTGTGTGTGTGTGTGTGTGTGTGTATATACTATATTGTATGTATTAATGTATTATAGTATAATAATAGGGAGTAATAAGTAATAATATTACTTTTGAAAAGTAATTTATTACATTTTTTGGAGTAACTAGCAGACACTAACAGTGTCCGTTACTCCGTTACTCCGTTACTCCCCGAACCTGAACCGGAGGATTTATATTCGGCTATAAAGAAAAAACATAAACAGAAAGATTTATTTTGAAACAGCGCCCCGGAAGTACTCGTGTGTGACTTCCTTTCACAGTGCGAGCAGTAAAACTGTCCGTTCAACCGGGAGAAAGAAACCCCGTGGATTATTCAGCGATGGACCGACACCGGGACCGCCGGGACCGGGACCGGGACCACCGGGACCACCGGGACCTGCTAGACGCGGATTTAAAAGCTGAAAGGAAGTTCCGAGGAGAAGGTTGGTTCTCTCTCTGCTAATGTTGCTAAGCTAACGTTAGCCTGTTAGCCGCAGCTAGCGAAGAAGTCCGGATTCATTTGGTGGATCATATGTTAATGATTGTAATCAATACTCCCATTATTAAAGCATTAATCAACCTGATCAGCCTTTATCAGTTAGCTAGTGTTTCTGTAGTGGAGACTAAACGTTAACAATGATCCATATCAGCAGTTTGAATCCAACTAAAAGCTCCCTGCACCAAACTCCCTTTAAAAATAATCACATTTTAACAATTTCCTAACGTGTTCGTTAACAAAACCACGTAACTCTAGAAACACGATGCTAAAAGGCCGTCATATGTCCACAGTCTGACTGTCAATACAGGATCAATATCATCCATAAAGATACAGTGTATACTGATCAATATCATCCATAAAAAAGAAAGGACGAAAGCCGAAGAAAAAGAGGTGAAAAGTAAACAGAGTGAGGTGGGGACACGTTCATGGTGGTAACGAAAACAAGCGAATAGTTGATCAATGGACCTTTTTATAGATGAAATAAATATAAATGATTTAATAATTGTCTCTTGTTTACAGGTAAATCGAACAATGTGTAGCACGTCGTCCATATTGATAAAGGTTTAAACAGCTTGTATAAACTCCACACCAGGCTTGTAAAGGACACCTGTGTATACGTTGTGTCTCCTGTTAGTGAAACCGTTTCAGAACTGACTGACGGAGACGTCGGCTCCGCTCTCTGGAGTGAAGCACGTTGGTTTGTTGGAGCCGGAGACGCTGTTGGATGAGTTTCTGTAGAAATCATCACATTTTCTGGAAGCAGAGTTTTGGAAGCTCAATTTGTTTACCGCCACCAAAACACAAAGAAGAAGTGGCACAGTTCAGATTTAGGTGTTAAAGTAGCTCCATTTATCATTTATGTAACAAATGAATGGTAACTGACACTAATGAGTGTGTTACAGTAAATACAGACTTCATGAAGGGCTGCACAGTTAATCAAAGTACGACTGAAGAGTGTAATATTCAAATCAAAGAAGCTAAAATAGTTTAATAAAGGTACAATGTGAGTTATAATGAAGTACTGACGTACAAATCCTCTTATCCAGATGTAAGAAAACATTGTTTAGTTGGTGCGGAGCCTCAAAAATGTCACAAAAATGCTAAATTATTTGTCAAAATAATCCCAATTATATTCTTCTTTCCAAATACAACAGACAATATAATGCTAATATATAGCAGCAGATATAGTTATTATTATTTACATAATAAAATGAGATACAATTTGTATCCATAGTACAAAACTGTCAATTTAATCCAGTATATTAGTGTATATACAGTAGAGCTAGAGTATATTTTCATCAGATAAATACAAAAATACTAAACTACTAACTACTACATATATATATATATATATATATACATATCAGAAGAAGTTAATAGGTGATGGTGCAGGAGGTTAGGGGAGTGGGTTTTATTAAAATATATAAGATAAGATATAAGACCAAATAAACAGTCTGGTATAAGAGATATATTTAGTTTTAATAGGGATGAATGTGTTTTTAATAAAAATGTCACATTACAGGGTCTTTAGGAAGTCTAAAAATCCATTAATATTCATTTAAATATGATTTTAACAGGTTTAAATGTGCTTTTAAATGTTTTTTGGGGGGAAATATTTATATTGATGCTGTAACTACAAAAGAAAGTGAACATGGAACCAACACTGATTTAACTTCATATTCTTTGTACTTTCTTTCCTCAGTATGGTGAAACAGGTTTAAGTTCCCTCTGTTGAAAGCCGCATTAATCCTGACACTGCTGTTCTTCCTGCTGTGTTCCAGGTGCAGCCCGGCCCTCCTCCCTGCCCGGTCTTCCACCCGGAGAAGACCGATTTAGTGTTGCCGACTGACGGTCTTTGGGTGCTGCGGTTCCCGTATTCCTACGCCACGGACCGCGGCCCCTGCTACCCCCCCAAAGAGAACCAACCGCTCAACAACTACAAGGTCCTGCGAGGCATCTTAAAGGCCACCACCGCCAACCCCCCGCCACAGTGAACAGTGCGAAGGACTTCCTGGACCCTTATTCTCTTATTTATTTACATTTTGTTTGTCTGTCGGCCCCGAAACCTTTCAGAACGGACCCCGACCGACTCTTTGCTCCATGATAATGACGTTCAGGGTTCCTGGAATACCTGGAAACTAATTAAAATGACCAAACATCCTGGAAATAAATCACTCTTGCGTTTGTTGTTGTGGTTGGTAATTGTTAATCAGGAACTCTTACACTACTGTCTGACTTTATTTTAATGACCTGGTGGGTAAGAAGATTAATTTTCTGTAAAATAAAGTTAATTCTGTTTGATTTGAGTTGTTATCTGTGCGACCAGCAAACCACAAAAACCCATAAATGACCACCACTGTGAGCCAGAGCTGTCCTGTATTGTCAGAAAAAAGAGAAACTCCTGGAAAAGGTCCTGGAAAGGTTTTGGAAATGTCCTGGAAAATGTTTTCTTAAAGTGTGGGAACCCTGACGTCCTAAAATAGCCTCCAATCTTTACATTATTAGCTCTGGAAGTGATACAATCATGAGTTTTGGCTTCAGTTCTAACATTTGTGAGGCTTCATAAGTTCTTATCAGATGGTCCAACAGCTTCACAACCACACACACACACACACACATTTTTCCGATGTCAGTTTTTTTTTCC